AAGTTTGTCACAGGACTATGCTTTAGGAAGCTTAACTTTATGTTGAGTACTACGCATGCATGATGTTGTTAGGGCAATGTTGCCGCCGTAAGTCAGCACCGCTATAGCAAGCCAGCTTCCACATACGTACATAGGAGGGGTCGGATGGCGGTTGGTTTGCGGGGTCTCTTCTAGAATGTCAGTAAGGTACCTATTATTGAAACTTGCAAGCGGGGCAGGGAAATAAATGAACGAGATGAGACGGCCGTAAAGCACGTGCCTCTATCACGGGGGTACACGTCTAGAATTCAAGGGCTGTATACATACGTGCAAAGAGCTGAGGTCGAAAAAAAAACCAACAAAGTAGATTCTAACATTGGCAGGTCAGGGGAAAATATCAACAGACCGGCGGCATTATGGGTTACGTGGCTCCAAGTTGTGGGTAGCATGAACATAAATCTTATTTCTTGCAAACCCGGGTATTACTCAGATCAGTGTAGATATTGTAGCTTAATCTGACCAAGCAACTGGTCGTCTAGGGTATCTAATAAACACTGAATATTTTAACTCTGCTGCGTGTTGGTGGCACAAGCGGACTAACACATGAGCAACACGTCTACCTACCTAACCTAGGTCAGGTACGTTAGGTACCTCATAATAATGTCATCAGGTTGGGAATATTTCCTATCCTGTTAGGTAGGTAGAGGGTAATGCGACCGATCGCTAGAGAGATCACCCTATTCAGACCATTACACAAAGCTGATCACAGCTTGGATATTATAATATGTGAGCGTTGTGCGTTGTGCAACGGGATGTAACGGTTGGGTATCTGTATCTACCTCCTAAGTTACCTGCTTGAAAAAAAAAAGAAATCCTACGCTAGAAGAGACTTTACAGACTGCGCCAGTGTGCGAAAAGGTCTTCGGTTATAAGTATCGAAATGGTATTATAGAAACCTACGTGTGAGAAGGGTGGACAATTAACACTAATCATGACTCGAGTAAACGGGTACCTAAAATCGGCAGCGAGATGCTAACCCTACTAGCCCCCTGGTCTCAGCTCTATTCCTGCGGTTGGCGAAATAGTTCATAAATCTTATTCAGACGCCGCTTCGCCGCTGATCGCTAATAACCAATAGTCCTCTACTGGTAAACCCGGCTGACCGCTGACATCGTCCGTGGCCCACCGCCAGGCTCTTCGCATTTGCTCCATGAATCCGTTTTAGGTATCGTCTGTGGCACGATAGTAAATGCATACCTAGACGCTTCGTATAGATAGCCTACAGGATATTACTCGTGCTATAATTCCGCAAAGAGGTTTAGAAGCACGAGCCAAGGAAGAGCGGTCGCTGGTCTTAATAGCAACTGTGCCTATTTCTACCCAATTTCTCGTCTCTACCTAAAGGAAAGAATATACTACCGCGGGCTGTTGTCACATGTGAATTCAACATGACATAGGAAACAAGCATCCCGGCCGTGTCGACGAGGAGGCTGCTATAGAAAGTAATGAAGCGTATGACGTGATACTAACTAATATCAACATCATGAAGTTAAAACTATCTTTTTTTTCAGCCCACTTATGGAGTTGGAGGTAACCGGGATGATGTGGTCCTTTCGGAGGTGTTAAAGAAGGTAACTACCTAAGCAGCTAGTTAAGGGAAATGAAACTATAAACCCTCCATTTATTAGTTACAACAAGGAATCGGCACAGATTCATGGCCCTGAGTAGGTAGATACAATACGTACAATACATATAATGTACTATGTAAGGTTGCCGAAATTGCAATTTATGGGGGTGTATGATAGAGGATGGATCTGCTTCTTTACGTTTAGTCTCTCTTCCTTTATTTTTATTATTTTTCTTTTTTCTTTTCTGTCTGCCCCCAAAAGCGCGTAACCAAATTCCGAATCCCACGCAAACCCCCTCTTCGATCGATGGAGAAAAGCTGCTTAAGCTTAATTCAAGGACAAGGAACTTAATCAAATAAGAAACGTCGTTGGAGCGCCACTCGATATCCTATTTGTCCTAGCGTGACCTCCATCACACCCCTTTAAATAGCAAAGCTACAAAAGGGGAGGGGGGACCACGCCGAGCTCTTGGTTAGAGAGCTTGGCATGTCTTTTTGTATCCTGCCTGCCTGCGCTCTTCGAATCTCGGCAGAGCCAAGCGTAACAAACCCGCAGATGCAAAATTCATGGTTGCAGTTCATTGGAGCAGGTCGAGTTCCCCACCATGTCCACCATGTCCACCTTATTCTAACAGCATAACTAAACTACCCTTTGTCGTGTGCTGACGCGGCCCTTTCGGTGATACTGTTGGTGACTGCTAACCGTACATGATGTCCGGTAGATAATATAGCAGGTGGTAGCTTATTACAAGCTTATTAGTGCACAATACATACTAACTAAACATAATATGGTAGATTAGCTCGACTCTCCTTGTGGGATCGGCGGGCTTCGGAATCTTGAGCCTAAACTAATAGGGCCCATACCTCCGCGAGGTGGAACATCGTATACTACCACCAGAAACCTGACTTCCGAGCGGCATACATAACAAATTGAACGGCGAAATGGAGAAACGTCCACTGGCGATCGCATCTCAAAAGTACACGTGGGTCACAGGGGGTAAAATAACGTACTGTATACGAATATGCCCGCAATATACCCGGCTTGCTACCTCCGAAATCACCGTGAGTGGGAAATATTTGAAGAAGAGACCAGGCGTCTTGTCGTCCTGGACGGCGCAGCGAGATGACGGTTTATCGTAGCGTATGTTATGTGTTGTACTGACAAGCCTGCAACTTAACACCCAATACCTACGTTACCAGAGAGATAAATTAGGGTATGGCCAAGAAATGTCAAGAAAATGCCAAGCTTCTGATCGTGTAACGAAAAAACGGTTATCCACAAGAAGAGCGATATTGTTTTCAACCGATACTAATTGCCTAGCGAGCCCAGGCCCTAAGGGTGGAAACACGGTAGAAAGATGGGCTGATCAGGATCTGGGTTCACAATCGTATCAACGCGATCAAGGTAATGCTGCACCCCGGATACACGTGAATCATCTCGGGAGCACAGAGATTTGTCGGGTAGGCAAGCGTCCTCCCTTCGATAGTCCTTCGGCCAAGCGCTTCATCAGCTGCTCGTCAGGAAGCAACCTTTCCCGACTGCGGATCGCCATGCCTAATAGCGGCTTTGTTACCTAATGGAGCAGCTTGGCATCTTTTGTATGATATTCGAGGCTACCAACGCTCCCCCCGCCCACCTCCCCCCTTTCAGAGGTCGCGAACCTAGTATACGTTTGCAGTAATGTTGTTTAGCATTAGGAATAACAACAACAGCAGCAGCAGTAGTTGCAGCAGTTGCAATAGTATCAATTAGTAATAGTAAATCCGACGACGTCCCGCCACTATAACTAGGAAAAGATGGTGATAATGGATGTGACGAAAGGGAACCGGGAAGAATCTGCCGACTGCTCTTTGCGCCGGGAATTACACCGCAGCTCGATCCTACCCCTAGCTTGTCCAGATAGAACTCAGTCTTGGCAAGCAGCTAAGGCTACCTGCCTGCATCTGCACCCTATCGCGATGAAACCAACAAACTGTGAAGGTTAATTGAAAGGGGGGGGGTGGAGGGGTGGGAAACATCGCGTCGTCGTCGAAAGGCCAACTGCATCCATGACAGTTTTGTGGCCGCGACCCCGATGGATAGCTGCCTTTTGATATTCCTTGCATTAGATGAAACGTCAGTAGGACCTTAAAGAGTGAGGGTGCGGTCATATGGCCCCAAATCCGTCCTTTGCCGGCGTCAGGTAGCGTGGGCGCGCGGTGGGCAAAGCCGAACGAAAAGGTAACGCGTGTAGTAATGAACCGAGCGCTACGCCGTAGGAACGGCCGAGCAGGCGGGCAGATTTCGTTGCCAAACCGGTCAGGACGCGGGAAGGACAGTGACTGGTCGCGATCTGGGTGTTCGCAGATATTTCCAGCTTAGGAGTGTCTCATATCAGAGCCGCCGTCGTACAAAGTGCTCCAGCTGCGGAAGAGCTCATCACCTCCCCCTTCACAACTGATCGCCACTCCCTTTCGGCCGTACCAATAATAACCTGGTGAATTATAATAGGTGCCCAACGAGATCGGAGGCTTAAAATTATTATGAGTTTTTCAAGGTATCTGGTCCAAGGGTGTTATAGAATCTTGCTGTAGTTACCCAGACAGGATATTGGGGTCCCTAGTAGGAAGGTCCCTAGTAGGAAGTGTTTGACTGGTTTTACACACATGTGGATCTCCCACAAGAAAAAAGAGAGAAAAAAAAAAACATTCAATCACATCTGTTGTACTTCCCCGGAATGCTTTCCAGTATTCACCGATCGGGGATGGGGACGAAGTGCTTGTGACGCGGCAAGCAAGTGCTCCAACTGCCGAATATCATGAACAAGTTCTGTCGACCTATCGCACCGAATTCAAGCACTAGAGAAGCTCGAAGGATCGCCTGAAGGACCGCTCGTAAAAGAGATTGCGCTATTAGATCGGGGCTCTTCTGTATTGTATAATTGATGCTTGTCTCAGAGAACAACTACGTGATTTACAATCAAGCAAGGTAAGGTAGCAAGCTGAGAAGACTTTACCTTTTCAAGTGCTATACCATTCTATTGCAAAGTGGTGGGACAATTCATTAAGCGATCTCCTCTATGTTCTCTACGTGGTAAGTTGAGGCTCGTAGATACCTACATACCGACTGATCGGTGTCCTCTTTAAGCTATCCCTCGAGCCTATCCTAATATAAGCGGAGAGTGGATAAAGCAACACAGACTCATACGCTGTGTTTAGGACCTGTCAAAAACTAGCCTTAGACTCTGATTCTGCCCTCGTGAAATCCGAATCAACGCACAGCAGACGCCACAAAGCTTGTTCGGCAGTCAAAGTCAGAACCAATATTGCATTGTACGAGCGTGGCACAAGACACCATCCACGTCCCAGAGAAGTAAGCGTTAACGAACACGGCATGCCCGCTAGTATATTGTGCTTAACAATCACATCGGCCGTACCAGCGGGGAAATGCGGATGTGTCGTGTATTGTTTGGACACCGGAGAGATAGCATATCAGCCGATCGAAGCCCAAGCCGAATCCTCCATGCGGAGGACAGCCCCAGCGCCGCAAGTCAACGTACCAGTTAAGGTTATTTTCAACCGTTTCTGATGGCTCGGAAATGTCATCTGGGGTTATCCTCGGAGCCATCCCGTGATTGCGCATGGATTCTACCAAGTTCTCTAATCGATGCTCGCGCATGGACCCGCCGGCGATCTCGCAGAAGTCTGGCACAAGGAGGTCAAAGCATTCGACGGTTGTACCAGGAGCCTCTGTGCTGTGCGTCTCTGCATCTGCCTTCATGTAGAAAGGTTTGATGTCTCGCGGGTAGTTGGTGACGAATACGGGGGTATCGCCATGACCTACTTTCTTAGCAATATATTTCTCATGTTCAGTGTGAAGATCTTTGCCCCAATGAGGACTGTGAATAAAGGGCACCTCGGACTGCTTCAGCAGTTCAATGGCCTCTCTGTAGGTAATGCGAGGCCAGGCTTTCCGTGCAAGACCATCCCAACGTTGGGAGACCTGTTCCGCTGTGGTCAGGCCTGAGGAGCCTTCACCTACGCGTGCTAGGATCTCACTCTTACATCTCGATCCGTTGAGATCGGTGCAGATATGTCTTAGCATATCTTCAACAAGGTCCATTACGGAGTCCAACTTGTCGGCGAAGCTTACTTCTGCCTCTAGCATGTAAAATTCGCTAAGGTGACGAGGGGTGTCACTTTTCTCGGCACGAAATGTTGGAGACAGTGTCCAGACATTGCCAAGGGCCTGAGCCAGAGCTTCTAAATGCAGTTGGGCTGACACTGTCGTATATACAGGTCGACGGAAGAAAGGTTTAGGTGTCTCAGACTCTTTAGAGGACCGAGCAGAGTCACCAGCCGACACGTGGAAGACTTCACCAGCACCTTCACAGTCTGATGAAGTGAGGATAGGTGTGTGAGTCTGTACGAAATCACGGCTACCGAAGAATTTGACTAGGGACGCAATGATCTCCGAGCGAAGCCTCAGGACGACGGAATTGAATGGTATCCTCGGTCGAAGATGTGGTAAGGACCTGAGGTATTCCGGAGTTTGGTACTTCTTCTGCAAGGGGAACGTCTATGAAATTGTAAGCCATTTCACGTTAACTCGTGAGGCATGACGGCCACAGATTCTATGCCTTAACAAACCTTGGCATCGGACGGTCCCAAGATCACGGCTCGTTCAACCTGGAGCTCATGGCTCTGTCCACGACCTTGGGACGGGATCCAAGACCCATGCAGCCGGACTGCCGCTCCAATAGTTAGACTATCGAATGTATCATTAGCAATGTTGGATATAGTAGAGGGTTGATTCAGACGGGGATCTCGTACCCTTCGGCCTGATCAACAGGTACTACAGCTTGGAGTGATTCGAGGGAAGAGCCATCGCCAAGAGAGACAAAGTGATATCGCTTTTGTGCACGGACAGACCGAACGAAACCATTTATGTTCACGTCTGAAACAGCTTCTTGAGGCTTAAAATTAAGAAAGCCAGCGATCGAAGTAGGAAGGGTTGAAGGGAGGGTTGAAATGAAAGCGCGTGGTACTATCCGTGATGAGAGCTTCAGGGGGCATCTGGGTGACGCTCCTCTCAGAAGCGGGAGGATAGAATTCATCTCACACAATTTATTATGAGATAATCGGGAAATTCAAGTGATTCCGATTCACTCGTGCACATTATGGACACAAACTAATTAAAATTTTGTGTATTGTGTACTTCATCGCATGATATGTTTTTTTTTCCTCCTCTTATTAAAAAATTATTATGGAATGTTTTTAATAAGAGATACTATGTACCAAAAAGTTTACTGGTACCTATTAATTCTTCTGTTAGTCGTTCAATTTTCGGAAAACCAAGTTTATCCCGCCCGGACCGGTTCTAAGCACAGACCACATCGTCCCGTCCCGTCCTTTTCTTTTCGCTTTCCTATTTCTTATTTTCTCTCAACTTCTGCAAAGCGGAACTTGTCTTAATGAAGCCGTCTCGAGTTCCACCAAACCCACCATTAAGTTGGTACTTTTAAAAGTGGTGAGTAATTTACGCGATTACGTCTCTCATGTCCCGAAAAATTTGTTTTACTTTTCACAAAAAAGCTATCACAAGGTATACTATGAAGTCATCTACCGCTTATTTTTAATAACCACTTACATCACCTAAGGTAGGACTCCGAAAACACGGCGGAAAGATAACTACCTAAACAGCTAAGCATTTGATTGTTATACAAGTCGTTAATAACATCTCGATAGAGCATTAGATAAGTACCTAAGGTAAGGTTAGGTAGGTACTCGATACGATGATGTGAGGAAACCTGGCTTAGATCGTGACTGTGAAGTTCCCGTTACAAGGTATGCATGTCAATCTCTAGCAATCTCTGGCGAATAGCAGAGAAGATTCAGTGTCACTATTAACATACCTATATCCGGTCATGCCGTCGAAACGGAGTTCCCGTCTTTATTTTACAGGTAGTTAACTTTTGCTTCTCCGCTGAATTCTCGCCTCAGAGCCTTTCACTTTAACCCCCCCTCCTTCAATACTTTACTTTCAGCTACAAGCTAGCTAGGTCAACCTAGACTACCTAAGTATCAATGCAAAACAAAACACAACACAACACCACAGAACAGAATAGAACAAACCAGGACGAATGGTGTATAAGGTACTTTCCCTTTAGGTTAGGTAGTTGTCCCTGTCTATCGTAACATCTTCTCGCGAGCGCTAAACTGCAGTAAGACGGGCTCGTGGGTTCATCTCCCGTTAAGATCGTTTCGCCCGCAGGAGGGCTCTACGATGCTGCGGGCTTAGGAGTACCAGATCTGTCCGACTTCGGTTATCTGCAGTGCGCCCTGATCTTCGACTGGAACAGCGATTCCATATACCTGGGAGCCGAACTGTGTCACAGAGACAGATGTCTAATTCTCTCACCTTACCGGAATACCAAGATGGTAAAAGACGGCGCGGAAGCGCTGCGCTGGGTTATATTATAGATACTGAGCCTCTTAACCTATTGTCTGAATTCACTTCATCTCAATGTCTAGGACATAGTGGACTCGATAATAGCAATCATCTTGTATTGGTAACACAAGAGTTTCTCCCGCCCTCTGCCCGTTGTTGACCTGACCGGGACGTGCCTGATACCTCAGCGTGAATAATGACTCCCTTCCCATTTGAGACTATCAATGTAGGTGGATGGAGCAGGCTGCATCCCGCCTCGTCTCTCTTATTGCCCTCCGTATAAAGTATTGTTGATGCCCAGCTACGTGGATTACATCTTTGTCGTCGATTAGCTATTTGCTCTTGCTCTTGCTCTTGTCCTTGTTCTTGTCCATAACGACTCTGTTTAAATTGCTTATACTGCCCAACCGCCGAGTCCTTTTTCGTCATAATGCCTTCTTCGAAACCCAAGCCTTCCGAAGTTGCGGCGGAAACGAAGCGACACTACATCCCGGTCATAAGAGCGGAATATGCCCGTCAATGGCCAACCCATTCCTATTTGTTCCAACAGCCGCTGGCGCAGATTCCGCTCCAGAGCTCTATTAGCGGGTTTTCTCCATCCCCTCCGGAATTCTGTACATATGACCTCTGCTGTAAATGAATATTTCCCCTTCTGCTCTAACATACCTCTATCAGATGTCTGCTCGGGGGATCCCGCCGACTTTGCCATCGACTGGAAAGAGAAGGCACACATTCGGATACCTTTTATATGCGCAGCGAATGACAAAAGAGCTGGCGGTGATTGGGAGACCGGAGTAGTGAGTCCTTCCCGCTTTACATAACTACAGCACTTACGGAGATATTTATATATTCGCTCATCTAGGTGGGATACGAAGAACGACTATGTAGACGCAGCAATCTTTCAGCAACGCTTAGCACTCCTGGACCTGGATCTGAGGTGGAGAGTAACTACCCCATCCCGTCCGAAGGCGGCATTTACTCTGAATTTGTTGTGGTGTTCCGTGGGCCGCACGACCAGTATAAGAAATTAGATCAATGGTACGACCTGCCGGTAGTCTCGATGCCGGCGGCGCGCTGGCCAAAGCTAAGCCACGGCGGTTCCAAGTATGCGTTCCCGTTGGAGCGCGAAATGGTGAGGAACAAGATCCGTGCCGCGCTGCGCATCTGCGTCTACTACGAGCATCGGACTGTCGTCATCGGTGACTTCGGCCTCGGCAATGGCCATCGCAACCCGCCGCAGGAGCTTGCAGAGCTTTGGCGCGACGTTTTCCTCTACGATCCGGACATTCGTGGCCGCTTCGATTACGTCGCTTTCGTGTTCGAGGATCAGTACCAGAGCACGGCAAAGTTGATCATGGACGACATTGCCAAGAAGAGCAGGGGCGGTAGTGGTCACGGGCATCATGGTCACGGTCACCATTCGAGCAGCTCCAAAAGCAAATCGAAGACCTCGTCCAGCTCCAACAGTAGTTCCACTAGTGGTTCCGCCGCGGCGCCGAGCGACTTTGAGATATTCTCCCGCGTCTTTGACCCCAACGAGATCCAAACCGTTTTGAGTCGACCGGATCCACGATACGGAATTTCTATGCTTACATCTTGAAATCCCCCGAGGAAGAGGTTTGATCAGGCGTGGACGTTGAGTCCTCGTACGTCATTACACAGCGTCGAGTGTTATACGGACCCATGTAGGTGGATTCAACCCGACGATCCGGTCGTTTACCGGTACTATTAGGTTAACTTAGGGGTTGGTAATTTCTAGTCGTTTATTTTCCAGGGTTTGGGAACTGTGTCAGGGTATTTGGATGTACTATGTCAAGAGGAGAGAACTTAGAGGTAGTCATGTCAACCTTTCATGTATTTGAACCTTAGGTTAGGTTAGGTCTAGGTAGTTTTACGTATGTTATGGTTCTGGCTTCTATCACGTAATGATATATCATAATATCATCTTCGACTATCATTTATTATGAAATATTATTTATTCAATTTGTTGGTCTCTCTGAGCTCTGCCGTCTGGGCTACCGTACGGAATAATTTTTATTGAAACTATAAAGTGACACCTTGTCATATCTCTGTATTATGTTAGGCCGCATACACAAGCAGCGATGTGAGAAAAAAAAAAACTAAAAAAAAACTTGTTACTGCTGTTACTGGAGGAATTTGATTCCCTTGCGTTTCTTGACGGGTGGATATCCTCATGTGATGAAGGGTTCGGCCAAGTCCGATTCAATCAAGATCTATGCATCCTCACATTCGTGAGCATCAACTGTTTAGTTTTCATCAGCTACGAGACTCGAGCCATTAATTCTACGTCACTTCAAAATATGGTTATCGTGTACAATATCAGAGTTTGGAACCCCAATGAAGTCGTAAGCAATTCCTCGGCCACGGAATTAGTAGTATCTCGACATTACATACCAGGTAGGTAGGTGTTCTTATAAATTTTGATCATATATCACATAAAACCATCATGTCAGCAAACGCTAAACTTGCATGGGACTGATGGGAGTACACATTTAAGACCGGTGTGGGAGTGGGGGTGTTGCTTTTTATTTCATTCTTATTAATCTGACTGAGCTCTCGTCGTGTAACCGTCAAAGCACCATCATGAGGCTTATAGGGCGTTTGGCTAGAATTCTCCGGATGTACCTGAGAGGTCAGCTTGCTGAAACCTTGACCAGCTTTTTGACAATATAATATCATAATATGCATTAGGTACTAAAGTCAAGCAAGTACTTCTAAGCATGTGCGCAATTAATAAGTGTTGAAAAGATATGGGTCATGTCCGACGACAGAATACGCATGTCCGGTCCTGTTGCATTGACAGGGAGCGTTGGGCGTCAACCTGGAAGGACCTGGCCCTGGTTTGGGTCTAGAACGATGCGCATGCATAGCTTTCTTGGCCTCAGATAGGCGAACCCGATCCCATTGTATTTTTTTTTCATGTGGGTTGAGCCTCGCCCATGGCGGCTTTGATATCTCCTAGGTATATGGATGTTCTAGCCACTTAGGGTATTAACAAGTGCCATAGACACACATCACCTGCAAGGCGACGAGGGTTCGTTCAAGTATCAGGTTTCATGCATAGGGTTGTAATAGGCACACGCATTTCCGGACGCTTGCATTCACACACTTGGGAATTACCAGGGGATTTTTGATTGGAGTCTTGGATGCGCAGCCCTCCTATATGGAAACATATTATATTGCGACTATAATATAGGCTTCTTTGGATGTCTAAGGAAACTCTGCGGTCTCCCGCGTCCTAAGAGAATAGTTTAAATCGAAGTGCAAAGCACCGAAACATTCAGTTTTCAGCTACAGGGGACTAATTGAGCTGGGAAGGGATCTCGAACTTTTCATAAGTTCTAGAAGGTGACGGGATGTCATACGCTGCTAGGTAATCCGGTATGTATAATGTTTCGTTCTACCTAGTAAAACCACAATAGTAGGGCGTTGACTCGTCTGGCTTATTGTTACCTCTAAGTAGTAATAAGCCACCTAATCTACCTAGGTTAGGTACCTGTCAGCGGAATGACGTCTCGACAACTGTGCCTAATGAAGAAGCTTGGGCTGCCATAGGAGTGCCTCTCATACGGGTCTACTACCTATCAGACAGGCAGTCCGGTCCTAGAGGTTTCAACTTGCATAAACTACCTGGTCCATTATAGAGACGGCCTGAAATTTAGATACCTATCTGTCTAATCTACCTGGTAAGTATGGTATCTCATTGGATGTATTATACCTTATTGTTGCTGTTGTTGAGTAGACACCTAAGTTATGCTAGTTATGGAGGCGAATAAGGCTGCACAGCAGCAAAGGAAACGATAGCTTAGAACTATTATCATGACTTGCAACAGCCACATACCGTGAAATTAGAGATATTTGACATCATCGAGGACTTCGGTTCTATAAGATTGTTGGCGTAAGAATGCATGTATGCTACTATAAATGGTGATCTGTTGAAGAGTGAGGCTCGCTGAATTGCATCAGACTATCTGCAGCCAGAAAAAAAAAGTGATCTACCTCATAATTGCGGTTATGCATATTTCAACATGTAGTGATATTGTGGCTGGCTGCATATGGATTGATGGTAAAGCTACCCCTATCCAGTGCTGACTTCCACTGCCAGTACCTTAGTTACGTGCTTGTAACTCACCCATTCTCTACTTTTAGAAGATAATCGTGTGGACATATCATCTGAAGGGTCTCATAATAAAAGTGTGCGTCGATAATGCCCGTGAACCGAGACCCTGGATGTCCAATTAACGACCGTAAATATCATGATCAATTCGGACTAAACCGGGTTCACGGCCGTTACTAGACACTCAAACGGGCTGAAATAGTCGGCTATTTTCAGATGTCTTAGATTTCATTTCCGCTGTGTTGTTTGCTTGGCTGTGGTCACAGGCGAGATGCAAGGGGGTTTTTTCGGCCGAAGTAAGATTCTTCCCATCCTGACTAGAAAAGACATAAGTGTTTTTCATGAGACGGATTTACGGAAAATAAAGAAGAGCGGTTACTTTAGGTAGCGAGTGTCATGTCTTGATCCAGGAAGTTAGGCGATATCAAATTTGCATTGAGATCACAAAGAGTTAATGAAGATTAAGCCCGTTGTATGGTAGAGGCTCGTTATCAGTCCTATGTTGCGAAAAGCATGCCCTGGTGCCGATGCGGTGGAACCTAATAATGGATATAGTCGTATGAGCTCTGGGTATTAGAGTAGATTCTCTTTCGAGGTTCCCATCCAAACCCTGGGCCCTTGTGCTGAAGCCTATCTGTACATGCAACTCCTGACACAGGGGTATTTTGTATTTTACCAATACTGCGGCCTCAGCCCTTGGAACGTTGACGCTAGGGAAGCATGATCATCACCCTCTTTTCGTCTTTGCCCAGCCAACTACATTGAGCAAGGTTAGTGAATGCCATCCATCCACTTCTAATGTGCCAGCTAATTCCCCGGGACCTTCAGCCAATCATAGCGTAAATGCGACAAGAAGAAATTAACTCACCTCAAGCTGCACGCCCTTGTGTATATGTACCAGCCAATCTACGTAGCTCTGCGCTTCGTTGTTCCGATCTTCAATTAGCATTCTTGCAAACTCATATTCGGCTCCATCAATTCCTTGCCTAGCCAACTGAATTGTTAGCGCCTTGGAACCGCGTACGACCTTGAGGAACTCGATTATGTTTCGGACTTGGGCGTTCAAGTGCGTCTGCAGGACTGGCAGCGAAGAGCTATATGGGTCGAGTTTATTGAGGCTGTCTTTGCCCTCCCCAAATAGATCCACCAGCAAGTTGGGCGAGGTTTGGGAATGAAACCACAGTAAGCATTGTTGTCCGTTATCCACCAAGTATACACCACCTGGTTCGACTCGACTGAAAGATGTGCGAATGGCTGGTGGCATCTTTAAATAGCCTGTTTGTTCGTCGGGGAATCCGTCCTCCGGGTTCAGATTGTGAATAGGTATCATCCTAGGGTATAGGTAAAGACTGAGTTCTGGAGCACCTATTGATCTGATCATACGCATTTCATGTACCCTCCGGTCGGATGTTTCGTTACCTCCCTTGAAAGCTCGGCATTTAAGGAGCCCAAGCATGTACATCGAGAACTCCTTAAGCTTTTCCGGCATAACAAGTTGTCCGGGAGGATGCGACTGGGACGAGAAATTCTTGCGATACCCTGCTAGTATGTCAATTGTCTTCTCCGTCAATCCTAGCCTTATGTCTTTGAGAGTGCTAGAAGTCGAGGCAAGTTTAGAAGCAGCGTCTTTGGCGAGAATCGTGTACACAGCATCTTGGTCCACGAATTTCATGCACTCTCTTGGATTGTCGCTAACGCTAGCAATCACGTTGGAACACCTTACTCGTCGTTGACCTGACGCAGTAGTATATAACAAGGCGGATTGGAAATGGGCGTCAAGCTTTGAATCAAGCTTTCCGTCATAGCCAAACGTTACGCCTACAGCTTTGTCGGCATCTATGACGCCTATCTCAAGATCGGCTCCAAAGGTATGCTGTATGAAGTTGCCATGGTACGCCGAGATTTGAAGGCCATTAGAGCATCGAACTTTCATCAATGCCTGATAACCCGTTTCCCTGGTAACGGTGTGCTTAATCTCGAGGGATAGCTTGGCATTATCGCGGCCCGCCACAAAATTCGGGTAGTAGAACGTCTCTCCGCCTGTTGTGGACGAGACATGGCCTTGAGAAGCGTAGTTAGCTACGATGATAATAGAATCGTGTCTCGTAATGAGGTATACTTACCAATGGTGGCTATGTCCAAATATCCACCAGATGGAGCAGCCAAGAAAAAATCGACACCCACTCCGGCCGCAACCATCTTCTCTGCAGCCTTCTTCCACGCGGGATGTTCGGTGGTGAAAAGTTTCTTATCTATTTCACCACCAGGGTACTTCCCGTCGTCTCTCAGAAAAAGTCGGCCAGGTCCCCATGTAGGTAAAGCCGACAACGAACATACGATTTTACCACCAGTCTTTTCCAGCGCGGCCAAACATGAGGTCAACGTCGGCAACAAAGCAGGTTCCGGATTTTTTATGTCTGCAAATAAGGTCGGTAGTCGCGCAAGTAGCGATGTTATGACAGCTCTGGATTCATATGGATCAACGAAGAGCCCGTCGCTAAGTGGCACAAATGGGTCTTCGATATCAGGCATAATGATCATCTGTGCTTGTTCTAAGGCGGGCTTAACTGGCAGTTAGGAACGATTCTTATCAATGAGGTAGCTGGTTACTCACATTACAGTTGTAGAAATGTATGTCCTTGTCGTACGTGACGAACCCGACCTTTGCGCCGGCTGGGATTTGCCGTTTCGGCTCGCCATTCTCATCTGTCCCATCGCTGTCCTCTGAGGTGTAAAGCGCGGCAAGAATGCCCTCACAGAAAGCCTCTAAGAAGCCCTTATTATAAGATTCCTGAGTGACGTCAATTACAAAGAGCCAATGAAGACCAGTAGGCTCTTTCGTCCAGTACTCCTTAGGTACTAAAAATTCGACGGTTCCCCTAGTTAATTCGGGTCGCTGATCTCGATCTACTCGTACGCCCTGAGGCGTAGTGGCACAGAAGTACTCCGAAGGAGTATCGTTGGGATATGTGCATAGATTGCACACGAATTTGCTGCCACCTGAGCGGAACATCATGAAAGGGTTAATATAGGCACGGCATCTATGACACCTTGGTGGTCCAACATCGCCAAAATCGAGTACGGGAACTTCCATTTCACCAGGCTGGAGACGAGCCAGTGGCTGTAAGACGAGGCCCAAGGGTAAGCCGGTGCTTTTTAGGCCGTCCTGGTTGGCGGGGATATTATTCATTGTTAATCGAGTAAACTTGGGCGAAGAATTGCCTTGATCATAAGCAACAAAAGAGACAGTAGCTGGAGGAGGTACATGGCGTTCGAAGGTAGGATATACGTTGCTGAGGTAGTATTGTTGTGCTACATCTCTGGAAGCTGGCACACTGGGGATGTCGTCTGGCGAAACTTGCCCCCCGCCTGATGCAGACACGAATGCAGGCGCATGTCCTGGATCTATTTGACTACTTCTTGCAGCAAACTCGGCCGGGGTTGCTGCGGTCGCGGGGTGAAAGGGGGCATTGACGGGCGCGGGAAACTGATTCGGTGAAAGGGGTTGGCCAATAAACTGGTTGTTGGGTCGTAAAGAGGGATCTGCATTCAAGAAAGCCGTAGCTGGTGTCCCTGCTGGTGGTATGCCGTTATATGCCTGAGAAGAACCAGCCGGGGCTTCTACAGCATGGAAGACGTGTCGGTCCTTCTTCTTTCTCCTTGCCGTATGCTGTCCATCTCCTAACGACATGCCCGCCATCTGCGAGGCGAGACCTGCATCTTGCGGAGCCGCAAACCCAGGCGTACCAGGGGCGGGTGGTGGGGGACTCCCATAATACTGCTGGCTTTGGGGCGCGGGAGAACCGTAGGCAGGGCCTTGCTGGTAGGGATTTTGAGCAATGGGCGGCTGAAATTGAGGAGGGGTAGGTTGTGTTGTTCGGTTGGGGTCATTGGGATCGAGTTGCTCGCCTTGTCCCAATGCGTGATACATGGAGTAATCGGCCATGATGGAGGAGGAGGAGGAAGCGGACCGATAAACCTCTAACAGGGTATTCTCTTTGCGATCTCGGTAGACTAGATACTATAGTATGCTAGCTGGTAGCTGGTAGGTAAGTAATTTAATGTAGTATACCTCGTCGCATTGGCAGATGACGTACCTGAAGTCGTGGTGTGGTGTAGGTTCTAGGTACCTATTTATGGTTTAATTCGGGGTTCGGCAAATCACGAAGATCGGAAATGTTCCATGGTATCTCGTATATCTTGTATATCTTGTATATCCTGTATATACCTAGAAGAGATCGCGTAGCTATAGCTGTACTATGTAGCTGTAAACTCGGCGAGGCGATTGAGTGTAGGACGAAGTGAAAACACGAGGGCAAACTTGTCGATTAAGAGGATCGTCTTCAGACTTTGACCTTTTTTTTCCCTTCGTTATTGTCTTGTTCTTGTGGCCACAGTTGGAATTGGCATCTGAAATCAAAAGCCAAGATAGAATGGCGCATGGAACAAGCCAGGGGCGACTTGTAGATTATGGGAATTGACACGATAACATTCCGGTGATTTTCCGATGATTTTCTAACTTTAACCTTAGCTGCCTTTGGCTGCTTTGGGCCTTGGGCACGGCGGGCAAGGCAGGCACGGGTCCTAACGCCTGGCCCCACAGGTAGTTCCCATACACCCCACCTACCTTAAAGGGGGATTTACTATATTTAGTTAGAAGCCTAGGTACGGATGACCCTTGCAAAAGTTTTGTCCATAGGGAACCCCCTGTCAGCCCCGATACGCACTGGCCAAGATTAACAACAAGTGGTAGCTTAAAAGTACTATGTACTCCGACATACCCTTTATATTTACAACGTAATTATTAAATATATAAAATAGTTTAAAATATTATAATTAAACTTTTATATTTAATAATGAAAGAACTATTTAAATTATTTTTTTTTTTAAAAAAATATTTGTCTTCAAGACTTTGGTTAAGAATTTAAATAGAAAATGATTTAAACTTTTAGATGTACAAGAAGATCATGCGCTATCAAGTGGCAGACCAAGCTAACCAGCTGTTGACAGCTTGATAGGGATCTCCCTATGGATAAACTTTTGCAAGGGTCATCCGTACCTACCTGTACTTAGTAGCTCTGATAGCTTTGAAACGGTGGAATGCCAACGGTGGCTTACCTAAGGTAGGTACCTAACACTAAATTTATTTGGTACCTAGGTACCGCGAATTCAAATCGACCTTCAAACTTCAAACTTCAAAGCAATTCCCATCTTCTTTTGCATTCACAACGCCCACCTTTCAATGCGCATTTCCCACATTGGCGCAAACCTCACATCGCCAATAAATTATCATCTAGTTAAGCACTGATAAGATCAAAAATTAATTCCTTAGGTCTCTTAGTACGATGACGTAGTCATGTTTACCTTCAGCTCATTACAGGGAGCGCTATCAGAATCAGCCGCGTCGCAATCCATCCTTGAACTAGATGGAGGTATCAAGGTCTTAGTTGACGTTGGTTGGGATGAGTCCTTTGACGTCGCTAAGCTTAAGGAACTGGAAAAGTGTGCTAACCTACTTAATCTTCGCAATGCTATATCTATATATCTGTATCGACCGTATGGCTAACATCTGTTGCTAACAGACAGGTGCCCACGTTGTCGTTAATCCTTCTAACCCATGCCACAACAAACCACATCGCTGCCTTTGCGCACTGCTGTAAACACTTTCCCCGTTTCACGGCGATCCCGGTCTATGCGACATCTCCCGTTATTGCCTTAGGTCGTACCCTGCTTCAGGATCTTTACGCCTCTACTCCCGTTGCTGCCACCACCATATCTTCTGCCTCTCTTGAAGAGGTCTCGTACGCGACCCAACAGTCTTCCTCCGAAATTCTCTTGCAGGCCCCCACTCCTGAGGAGATCGCGACATACTTCTCACTAATACACCCTCTGAAGTACTCTCAGCCGCACCAACCACTCGGCTCCCCATTCTCCCCTCCCTTAAATGGGTTGACCATTACAGCTTACAACTCCGGTCGAACCCTAGGAGGTACCATATGGCATATACAGCACGGGTTGGAATCCATCGTGTACGCCGTAGATTGGAATCAAGGACGTGAAAATGTGTTTGCGGGAGCAGCCTGGTTAGGTGGTGCGGGAGGCGGAGGCGCCGAAATTATCGAACAGTTACGAAAGCCGACCGCTCTGGTATGCAGCAGTAGAGGTGGCGAGAAGACGGCTATCGCTGGAGGTCGGAGCAAGCGAGACGAACAATTACTGAACAAGGTTAAGGCTTGCATTACAAGGGGAGGTACCGTTCTGATACCTGTCGACTCGAGCGCTCGGGTTTTGGAGCTGGCCTACTTGATGGACCATGCATGGCGAGCGGACGCGACAACAGGCGACGGCCAACTCAAATCTGCTAAACTCTATCTGGCGGGACGTAATATCCACAGTACCATGAGATACGCGCGAAGTATGCTTGAATGGATGGATGACGGCATCGTCCGTGAATTCGAGGCTGTGGTCGATGGCTCCAGGCGAGTTAATGGTGTAACAGATGGTACGAAATCTGCCAAGGAAGCTGGTCCATTCGACTTTAGGTTCCTGAAATTACTGGATAGAAGGGGTCAAATCGAGAAGGTCTTTGATGGCGAAACTGACGAGAGTTCCCCGTCTGGCAGGGTCATTCTCGCTAGCGACTCTACCCTCGAATGGGGGTTCTCAAAGGACGTGCTGAAAAGGATTGCCCAGGACCCGAAAAACATGGTCATTCTGACAGAATATCCGTCCCTAGCCTCGGAGACACACCCGTCTTTAGCGAGAACTCTATGGACATGGTGGAAAGAAAGCCAAGCACACGCGAGTGAGGTTTCAAATGATACAAATTCGCGCGAGCTTGAATTCACAGATGCGAAGAGACAGCCTTTAGAAGGGAACGACCTTGCCATATATCAGCAATGGCTTGCACAGCAGCGCCAGCTTCAAACTACTCTCCAAAGCGGAGTGGCCAACGTCCTTGAAGCGGCCGGGGATGTAGGCGACGAGGCTTCCGAATCAGAGTCGGAATCTGAAGATTCCGATAATGAACAACAGGGTAGGGCTTTAAATGCTGCCACCACGATGGGCCAGGCCAGTAGGAAGAAGGCGGCTCTAACAGACGAAGATCTTGGCATCAACATATTGCTAAAAAAGAAGGGTGTTTATGATTTTGATGTAAGGAACAAGAAAGGAAGAGATAGAATGTTTCCGCACCCGGTTCGTCGAAAGCGCGCCGACGACTATGGAGAGCTCATTCGACCGGAAGATTTCTTAAGGGCAGAAGAAAGAGACGACAACGACGCCCAGGATTTGGCGCAGACGGGGAGGGATGAAGAGGGGGGGAAACTTGGAAAAAAGCGGAAGTGGGATAATGCCGCATTTTCGGCCAAACACCACGGTTCTGGTCCATCGAAGAGACCACATCTGATTCGTAACGTTACCGACGAGTTTGAACCGGCATTATCCGACGGCCCTGTCGAAGATGAACTCGATGGGATTCCCGACGATCCGGATGAGACAAATTTGGGCCCGTCAAAATTGGTGCTGACGAAGCAGACCGTCGCTATAAAGCTGGAGGTCGAGTTTATCGACCTCAGTGGTATTCATGATAAGCGAAGCCTCCATATGTTGATTCCTTTGATTCAACCTCGAAAGCTCATTCTCATCGGCGGAAGCGAGGGAGAAACCTTGACGCTTGCTTCGGATTGCAAGAAGCTCTTGGCAGAAGGTTCCGTTAGTATCTACACGCCAAATGTGGGCGTGACTGTTGATGCGAGCGTTGACACGAATGCCTGGGTAGTGAAGCTAGCACCCTCGCTTGTGAAGCAGCTTAAGTGGCAGAACGTTCGCGGGTTAAGCATTGCGACAGTCACAGGACGATTGCTTACAATGCAGAAGGAGCTGGCGGCACGCCGCGACGAGGAAGCTGCGAACAAACGCCTGAAGATTGAGGACTCGACGGAATCTCCAACGGAGGCGGAGGAGGTGGCGACGACGGCGGCGGCAGAGAAGAAGGAAGAATCCGTCGAACCCACTCTTGACGTTCTTCCCTCCAATATGGCCTCAGCAGCACGGTCTGTCGCCCAACCTCTACACGTGGGAGATCTACGGCTGGCGGATCTCAGAAAGGCCATGCAGCAGTCGGGCCACACGGCGGAGTTCAGGGGTGAAGGTACGCTATTGGTAGACGGGTCGGTGGTCGTGCGGAAGACTACGGCGGGACGGATTGATGTGGAGAGTATCGGCCTCCCGACGGATGGTGGCCCCGCTACCCAGCTCGGTGGCACTTTCTACGCCGTGAAGAAGACTATTTACGAGAGTCTGGCCGTGGTCGCGGGTGCTTAATTGAATGAATCGCCGGGGTTTAATGGATGGTCGTGTGTATGACTACCTTGTAGGACTAAATGAGCGCTTGCCCTTAACATTAAGTCGCAGTATTTGCCTACCATAAGATAATGTGAGTTGCTCATGATGCTACGTCTTAATTGCCAAAATGGAGTACATTCACAGTTTATTTGTTACCCGCGTGGCTATTCTATGGCAGGTCAGGTAGTCTTGCCATAACAAATTTTCAGTGTTATTACACTACCTCCTAAGTACTTAAGGTAAGTGATGCCCCTGAATAAGTCGGCAAGCACTAATACCAGCAAAACCGATGATCCTCCTGTTATGCTCTAAAGGACCAGAGGTAGGAAACATTAGAGAGGAAACTCCTACGTTGCGATTTCAAATCGTAACTCGTTTCTCGTGCTTGCGGAACTATTGACATACCTTCCTCCTACCTAGGTACGTATTTAACTTTACATGCTAATATCTGTTGGATAACCAGGTTTATACTTCTCATATCCCTTCTAGAATCGTATGCTCTCGTAGAACATGCTTTGACATGCTTATATTTAATTCAAACCTCCGCGAATTTCGAACGGAGATACAATACAATAGGTGTTTGAATCTGGCCAACTTCTTCCATTAAGCATTGCCGCTTTCTCTAAGTACCTTCCAACACAAGTAGCAAAATCCCAGTTGGTAGAATGTTTCGCAGTTGCCATTTTAATTTTTCACCACATTTGCTGTGAACTCATTCCCTTTTTTTACAGTCGCGCAAACGAGGTCAGACACCTACTTTTCACATCTTCACCACCATCATTTATTTTATCTTTCGGCTTTTTATGATACTTTGCGACAGCGTAAGGTTCTCATTTCACTCTCCTTCACGCGCTTACATTTCGCAATAACAGCCCCCTTCGTGTTTATTGCTCCCGGCATTTTTATTTCCCCCAAACAAGATACTTTATCTCTGGGAGAGTCACCCCTCACATCTCTTGACGGACACTCCCCTTAATACATACTTCGCTTCGTGCAATCTATAAATGTACGTATTCGTATCAGACCAGGGCTTTATGTTATACCTCATTGCCAACCGATATCCGTCTAGCTGACAATCATTATAGATGCCACGCCGAAACCCCCTTCGAGAACAGGATGTCACTCAGGACCTAGTAAAAAAGCCGTCCCCAGAGTTCTCCAAGTACCAAGACCTCATCCCAGAGCTAAGACTCGAGATCTGGCGGCAGGTGCTGCTTCCTCCCGGTGTCCATTTCCTCACCCTCGAATTCCGAAGAAAGATAAAAGATGGCAATATAGTTAATGAGTTACTCGTTGACACCTGGGGCTGCCCATCATCTGATCGATCGACATGGAGAGTCCGTAACAAAATCTCTAAAACTGACAAATACTCATGGGATGTTATGAAGAAATTCTCCGAAGGGACTTCAATTTTGCGACCACGGGGGTTTTCGCGGAAGTTCGACGCTTTCATTGACTGTACCCGTGATCTTGTCTGTGTCCGTTTTCTTGGGCGCATTCTTAACCCAGGCATTCATCCATTCCGGAATTTGGAGGTATTGGGGGGAATCAGATACGTCGGCATAGACTACAAGAACCAGGCTGTTTCCGGTTCAGTCAACATGGGTTTTCAGTGCTTATGTCGTGATAACATTCACAAGGCCAGCACGATCTGTCCCAAGACTTTGGAGGACTTTGTTCCCCACTTCCAGGGCATGGAGACTTTATATTTTATGGTTCAATTGACCGTCAAGAATATCAAGTCTCTCCCGCCTGTTTCAAGAGGAAAGAAGCGAGACCATCAAGGGACCATCAAAGAGCAAGGTGGCCAGCCAGCTAAGACCATGCCCGTACCATCTCGAACACCAGCGCGGAATTCTCAAATCGTCTCTGAGACCTTTCATAAATTTCTAGGTAAGAACTTCTTCAAATAACTCGGGAGAAAACAATAACTTCTCCGTCTTCTGTTACATGGGAACGTTCTAATAAACATGTCCAATTTCCAGATATTGCGCGACGAGACAAGCTCGACAGTTTCGAGGACAAGCGATTCACGTACTACGAGGTGCAAGAAAAGGACACGTCGTGTCTACTCATTCACGAAGAACTGTGGAATGTCTTTAGCGACCTGAAAGACCTCTGGGCAGTCGCAAAGAGCAAAGTACCGCCCCCCTACCAAGTCAGAGAGCCGAAACTTAAGGTCTTGGTCTACGCCGAATCAAAGAAGAATCCTGCGCAATCATAGGGGCCTGCAGGTAGAAGCAGCTTAAGCAGCCGCCCAAAATCTACCTACTAAGAATTTGTAGTCAATTGGCGACGAGCATAGGACCTGGGGGTTTAGGTACACGACACCGACGTTGACGATTTCGGGTTTCTAGCTTAGGTTGGCATCAACTCTTTTAAGTTGAATGCGCATATAGCATATAGCCTTCTGGGCGTTTTGCGCGATTCCTAGATTTGCTTTTCATCTTCTGTCTCTGAATTCCCCTTCTCCAAAATGAAAAGGGACGAAATAAATTGTACTTGTTTTCAGACAAGACCCTCGCGATGATTTTTATGGTGGATAAGGGACAAGGGGCATATGGACCAACCTCACTAGCTTCTAATAAATGGTAACTCCAAACAGATAGCCTGAAATAGAGGTATAACATTAGGTATGAAGAGGCATAACATATGAATGTTCCTTAATACTTATAACACATAACGTGCTATCATTGAATGGGCCGAGATCGGAGGTGTGTTAAGGAAAATCAATGTGGCTTACCCCATAAACAAAACAAAAAATTGCCTCAGTCGTCAAAGCTTACATGCAAGGTAGGTAGGTACAGTACCTATCTCCTAACTTAACCAAGAGTATGGACTGCATATAATAGTAATGAACGAGTCTTGGAATAACTTCAACGTCCCCTTTCCATGCTAGCTTTCCCCCCATTTTAATCCAATGAATTCTTCCTCATGGCAACTGAACGTAAGCGTTTTCGAGATGATTTACTATCCGCCGTACAACTTGTAAGATCGTCGTAAATCTTCCCCTGATTTAATTATGCGGCACATAACTAATCCAATCACTTCCGTACAGGCGTTCCGGCATTCCCGGAACAACATCGTACAATCATGGCTTTACGTGCCTTTCGGCATAATACTCATGCTGTTGTCCTGCTTTGCGGTCAACAGGTTATTCAATCTTGGGTCTGTGCCTTTTCCGTCGTCGGTAGCTTGCCTCATCATCCTTTTCGCGGCGCTACTGCTGTCCGAGCAACTTCTCGGCGAGCATCGGACGAAGCATATTGTTTCTATTATCGAGATTCCGGTAAACGATCTCGCTGCCCTATCCGCGCATTATGCCAATACTGACATATATCTTCATTAGGGCGGTTGGGCGCTGCGATGGATAAACGTCCTATTCACACCTTCTTTCGTCTTATTACCCCTGAGCCCGTCGATAGGGGGGATCGAAGTCCTTAAGATAATCGCAATCTTTGGTAAGTGGCCAGAGTGAAAATCCATCATAATCATAAAGCTACAAAGATCTAACTTAGCAATTCCGCTCAAGTGATCGGGTTTCTCGTAATGATGGCCCTTGCCGCTTATATGACCCGGGCTTTACAGCTTGTTCTCGGATCGTCAAAGCGGGCAATGACCGAGCGAGCGGAGGAGCTAGGCCCTGACAGCGAAGATATCATTATGAATACAACCCCAGAACATACAGGCCAATCGACGCCCCAGTCTGTCGAGGTAGACTTACAGCGTCCCCTGCCGTCTCGGGATGCTCATCAAGGAGAGGACTCCCAGTCCAGCCGCACCGTCGTAGATAGCGACGCGGACCGCCCCGACCTGCCGCCACAAGCGCCAATACCGCCATCTAGATCGGATCGCTGGGCAGCAATCATCACCACCAGACTGGACCTTCTGACTTGGAGCGCGATTTTCTTGTTCGTGGGACTCCCGGTGTACTATGGCGCCGGCTACGCAATGCCGATGCATATAAGCTTCAACATCCTAATGTACTTCCTGGCAGTGTTCCTCCCGGAAAGTTGGAAACGATATCTCCATCCCGTTCTCGTGTCGTCTCTGTTCACCACACTAGGAATCTGGGTCCTTGGGCTTATTAAGGGCGATAGCCTCCCGGTTACCCTTGCTGCGTATAAGACAGGAGTCGGATACACGGAGATCTGGAGCGGCGTCCGTGGTCTTCCGGGAGCCGGTAATTTGCTCGCCAGCGTGCTGGATGCCAGCATTGTCTCTTTCGCATTTCCCGTATATCGGTACCGACGCGAGCTGAAGCAGCACTTCGCCTCGATTATTATTCCTAACGTCGCTATCTCTATCGGCTCCCTCTTCGCATACCCGTATATCTGCTATGCCGTTGGTATCAGCGCTCAACGCAGCCTTGCTTTCGCGGCGCGCAGCCTCACGCTGGCTCTTGCGGTGCCAGCGGCAGCCAACTTGGGCGGTGACTTGAACACCGTGGCGGCATTGGCTATTATGAGTGGGATTGTCGGAGTGCTGGTTGGTGAGAGCATGTTGAAATTCCTCAAGATTCCCCAAGGTAAGCATGCACGCGTCATTTTATGTTTCAGATCTCATCACATCACATCACATCTCCCGTATCTGCAACCTAGGTAGATAATCCTATTCTTAGGTTGTGACCTACCATCTAACTTACCTGGTATGCAGATGACTACGTTACTCGCGGCGTTACGCTCGGTGCCAACTCGTCTGCCATGGCGGCAGCATTACTCTTGCGTACCGATCCGCGAGCTGCCGCGCTGTCTATCCTTGCCATGAGCGTGTTCGGCACTATCACCGTGCTGTTCACGTCTATACCACCGATAACGGTTGCAATTCAGTCACTGGTACAACTATAATTCTGGAACGGAATCTCTAGTCGAGCTGATATGTATCATTTCGGCTCAGAATACATACCTGTTTTAGATTGACACTTGGTATTTGTTGGAATTATTGTTAGAAGGCTTATCCAGCTATTTAGATATTTCGGTTCTTGTTTTAGGTCGAGCACTTTGAACGCTTGGCAGGTTTATGGTGGTCAGTTGATTATCTATGCCCCTAAAAAACAACGTTGGCGAATTATTTAATTATTTATTTATATCGATTCACTAGCTTGAACCATCGCATATTTGAACTCCTTCATGTAAGTGTCTAACTTGTTAAAAACCCTACTCCTAACAAGATTACCGCTATATCTGGTTATAGCGCCCTCAAGTCACAAGGAGGTACCTATCTCACATCTCCTAAGGTAAACTTTAAGTACGAAATCGAAATAACTCATTCGGTTTTTTTTCGGATCCCAGCTCCGTAGTGTATTGTAGGTATTCGGGCATCTTGCACAAATAAGGTAACTGCTATTATGCACCTATCTATGGGATCTCCATTGTCATTTGATCAACTCTAGCTGCCCCTCTCAAGTTCAAGATATGACGTCACTTGGTAAATTAGTGAAAAAATAGCCCGACTTAACCAAGGGACCGAGTTTTAGGTACCTTAGGTATACCTATAGGTAAGTAAGTAGTTTAGATGATAGGTATGATAGGTATTCGTGTTATTAGACTAATAAAACGCTAGTATTGTATTGTATAGAGGCGGCGTTTACGCTTGTAGATTGACAACGCATAAGATACATGTAGTGTAGTTTATCAACTTCAACGACTCTCGTCATGATGGTCGGCTAGTGGCATCATCGACTAATCGACTAACATTCCGTCATATCGCAAATAAAGCTCGGGTCATGATGCCGTGGGAACTAGAGATGTAGATCTATCAGTACCCTTTCCATATTTCCGCATACATTGCGAGCTCAGCGTACCGAGAGCCGGTCTCGGACTAATAAGTGCCGGATATCTCTCGGCCTCGACTCCGTCCCGAAAAGGCAACCGGGTCGCTGATCACTGCGGCACGCACTTAGCTCGCTGTCGTCGGGCTACTTCACCAGCTCACTAGCCACTTTGTCGTCAGGATTTGAAGGTCCTTAAGTGGTCTTGCCTAATAGGGTACATCCCCCCTCCCCCCCGCCGCCAACGCCGCGAACTTGTTGATGTACTGAGGACATGATCCTATCCTGCTTCGTAGGGCCACGCTCCGATTCTACCTTTCTATTTACCACTGCGATCGTCGCGCCAACCTCTGAGTACGGCTGTTAAAACGGGTAGGTAGGAATCGGAGCCAGAGATGATCTATCGTTTAACGAACACCCATCAAAGATACCTAGGTAGGTAATACTTGACGTAAAGCTGTTGTAAGTACCTAAAAATATCAACTTCCCGTTGCTAGTATACTTAGGGGATATGTGGCGAATGGGAATGACTACCGGATGAGGAAATTTTCCTACCTGATAGAGCATTATCATTGGCTATTGTGACACTCTGTTTCGGCCAGGAAGTCTCTCGGGGTTTGTGGCTTAGGAGTGGCAACTTATGTGTCTAAAACAAGCGATGATCGATCAATGCCTACGTAAACGCCTCATCTACCCCTTTTAAAAACCATGTTGCGTCGTAATGATGTGGCTAGTGGCTGAAGAAGCATCTGCTATCGTCGCACCGGAATTGCTTGAAGAGGGAATCACCCTAGGGCGTGAGACGATAATATGTGGCTTATCTCTGGGTGCTATGATCGTGTATGCTCGTGGCGATAGTAAACACTTTTAGCCTCAACGTCTTTTTTTATAGTCCCCCTGAACCGCGTTCATTATTGGTTCCATGATTGCTGACGGTTACTTAACAGCGTCTGAGGTTCCTGCACGTAGCTACGCGAACTACAAGTGGCGGCCCCTAAGGCATCGTGCAAAATTACGCCGGAACTAGGACCGGGGATGTCTTCGCTTCGATACTTGGGGTCTCCCTGACCAGCTGAAATGAGCCCTCTCTTCAAGCTCTTATTGGACCCGGGTCTAGATGAGACATGCATATGTCGTAGATTGCAACTCCACGTGGTATATGGAGGCCTCCCTCTGCTGTCTAGATCGGGCTGTTCATGGGGAGCTTTGTGAAGCTATCATCTGTCCCCCGCTGCCCCGGCAAGTCGCATGGGAGTGCAACCACAAGTTGATAACTTTAACATATGACCGAGGTATCGCTTAGGTTGAAAGCTAGCGCGATCTGAACCAAATGCACTGCCACTGGTACCTGATAATAAATTGGTAAAAAAATTTGAAGATTTGCTTTGCTTATGCAGTTTCCGCCACCAGTCGGTTCCGGCATATTTCAACCCGGCATTCGCGGAGAGTCCGGTGCTGTTTGCCGGAGGTCAAGCCTCCCGTAGGTCTAGAAGAGCTGTGGCGAGTGTGAACCCCCCTGACCTGTCGGCTGTTGCTGTAAGTACCAGTACTTGAACCACTAAACAGCGCCAAAATTTTCCCAATCGACGGGGGTTCAGCTCGCAGCGCGTCACAGTTGCATTAGGTACATACCTACTACCTAACCTAACCTATTATGCAGGACCCAGTGAACCCCAAATCGTGAGGTGTAACGGTACTGTTCTTCTCTTCCTACCCGCTACAACGAATCTTTTTTAGCTGCAGCTTCAGGGGTTTGCATCGGCCCCGGATGTACCTCTCGCTACATAGTATAAACGCCGACTGATACTTGCTGATGATTAAACCCGCCGTAATGCAATGCAATGTAATACTAGGTACCAGGTAGGTAGTATAATAAAATGCGCTGAAATTACTGAGGACAGCGCTAAAAGATTACCAAGTACCTAACATAAGGCCTGCATGTAAGCTAGGTACTGCTTGAATAGGTAACTTGGGTAGCGGATAAGTGCCTTGATACCTTCATAACTGGAGCGGTTGATATTAAAAGGTGATTGGCGCCTGAGGCTTAGTGAAGTAATTACCTTTGTACAATACAATACCGTCATTCGCACCGGCGATAGAGCGCGATGCTGGGTTTATCGTTTTGACTTCTTAAGAATAGCACAGTGAAAAACGCAGTGTCCGAGATTTAACGCCATTGGCGCCGTTCGGGTTTCTAATAGCTTACCAACCATCCGAGAAGGTTAAAACACGATGGTCGCATCTGTAGTTGGAATATTAGTGTAAAACGGGTGCTAGTATGAGAGGTATCTGAGCTACTAAACTACCTTACCTATAAAAAGCCGTGTACGGAGCTTGCACACCTAGGATACCTAGGATAAAGAGCCTGCGTATAGAGCTGGCTGTGAGCTGAAGGGTCTTTGTCCCTGCGTCATGTCTCAATGTTTCCACAAGTTGTGAACCCGAGTAATCAGTTTGGTCAAGTCGAGATAGGCCTTTGTGTTGTTGTTCTCGCAACCTAATGTCTCACAAACGCGGCGGGGGACAAAAGTCTGTACCGTAACCAAGTACCACATACCCGATGGTTAGGGGTACTACTTCCAAAGGTTGTTCCAATAACCTCGAAGCCATGTATTGTACCACAGAACGCCTAGAGCAACCCCCGTCCGCTTGCGCACTTGGGACTTGGGTACGATATAGTAACAACATAAGATAGCCGCATATCGAGTCGTACAGTCGACCACATCAGCTTGCAGAACGCGCAAACCACTCGCCACAGAAAGGCGAGCCTTGCACTGCCCCAACTCAAGCCTAAGCCGTCGATCATTCTTTGTGGCTTTCGAGGCGGTCGAATTTATTCCAACGTCAGTTCATTATCGGCAGCAGGCTGTCAGGGATGAGCACCAAACCCGCGTCCGGGTTGGAGAAATGGCGTGTATCTGTGATAATGAGGCGGTAAGGGAATAAGCGGATATGAATTAAGGTACCTAGAAGTCTTGAGTATGTCAGTAGGTACCTATCTTAGGTAGGTATGCCACTTTTAATTGGAAGGCTGACGAGTTCTGTCGATAGTTGGTCAGTTGCTCTCATGTCTGACGAGAAATGACGCTTGTCACGTCGTCCAGCATTATCATCACCATCATCGTCACCACCATCACCACCATCACCATTATCGCTATCATAACTATCATACACTACCTACCTAGGAGGTACCTAACCTACCTACCTATCATTCATTCCTCTTTGTTCCCCTCTTCCGAAATTGGTAAACCAACGCCCCTTCCCCCCGCCCCATTAAGCAGTACTGCAAATTAAGTATTAGGTATTTAAGAAAGAAAACGAATAGCGTCTCCAAACGAAGAATGCATTAAAAAAAAAAAAAAAGAAATTGCGCAAGAAGCAGTAGTAAGTTGCTAAATTACTACGACGGAGCCGGGATGTGCTTTGAGTTTTAAAATGATTGAACCGATCCAATGGTTAGGTAATGAGGAGCGCGTTGTTAATGTTGTTTTAGGTTGGGTTAGGTAGTTCTTCTCCGTACCTATGTTTCTTTTTTGGAGGAATTTGGGGGAATTTGGGGCAAAGACGGGACCTCGTGGATTGTTTCGATTCGGAGAAATAACCCCTGTCCACTGTTGTTTTAATAGGAGGGGTTTAGGCGGTAGTGATTGCAGATTAGAGAGATGAAAGGGTAGAACCCGGCGTCTTGGAGCCGGACTTCCGCCCACCACCTTATGGGACGGACGAAAAGCTCCAAACAAGTCGCAAGTCTCAGGTCTTAGTTCAGGTACTACTGCTAGGTATTACATGTAGTGATGGCATGATTGGAACGCAAGGCACGTATTGTACATACAATACCTTCAAGGCATAAATAAAACCTCGTCCACCCTTACATTTACCTCAGTCAAGTTATCAAACATTAAAGTAATTACATTCAAGTAGCCTTAGATAAATTTAAGTAATTATGCCAAAGTTTTATATATTTATACTTCTTATGGTTTATTATTCGTTCTGTTCTTTTTTGCTGCAGAACGTTAGCAGGAATAACATGATTACTATAAAAGGTACATAAGGCCTACCCAAATAAATGGTTGGGTAGCCCGACATGGATAGATAGGTACATGTATGGCGTGTATGGTTACAAGACGTCTTAATAAGCCTCCCCAGGTCAGCAAAATGATCTAGGCCTCAGCCCTTCCAAATGCAATGTGACCATAGGTAAGGGGTAACCTTGAAGGTTCCGTCAATTGAAGTTTCCATGATGCTTCGGTCCAGCTCGCAAAATTGGTTTGATGAAAAAACTGTTTGAAGGGGCATCGCGGTAAAAGCGAAGGAAAATTACAGGTAGGTAAACATATAATACAGATCGAGATTGGCGCCGCAGGTAGATTGGCGATTCTCGGGAGATTAAAGCGTCGTCATCTAGCTAAACTTTGTTAAGTAGATGACATCGAACAAGATTTCATTGTATCGTATATGTGTTGGTGTTCGTATACATACAAAAAAACATAAAAGGTACCTAATATAATATACCTTAAATAAGGCGAATAAATAAATTCGCAGGTAAGCCGCCCACCAGATCCTGTAATATCATATCCAGACTAGACAGACACCTTCACACATTATCCCATAAATATCACAAGACCTGTTGCCGTAGAAACGAAAGATGTTGATGCGAAAAATCGAAGATTTGTTGGACAAAGTTGCAGAGAAGTCTGCTTCGCGTGTAGTGTGTAATTCCCTGCCGTCCCGCTTCACCCGCCAACCCTCTTCCAAAATCTACAGATAGAATACCTTGAGCTCCAAAGAGCTACATATATACCTATAAAACGATCCAACTGGGTATATTCCATGACCAAGAAAAACATGCCCAGGATAGCGTCATGACTGCGCCTAAATTGAAATACATAGTACAGGTCGTATCTTCTCTAATGTATATGGCATCATCAGTCTAAAAGACCCGAACGTCGGTCCGTCACAACAGAGGGATCGGAGAGAAACAGAGCTGCCCCTAAACGGTATGGTATCTTTTAAGGTGCCGTTCGAACGCCATATATATATAATAATAATAATAAATCAAAATTCCGCCGGTTATTCGTAGGGTATAAGTAATCATGTTCGTTAACAAATAAGACGGCGTAGACCGGTCGGTTCCAGGACTGTCTGTCTTTCTCGCCCCAATGTATAATCATCGAAAGTAATAAAACTCCACGTAATTCCACGTAATTCCCGCAGACACCCCTAGGTAGAAATTAAAATGTAAGTCGCAGTTCGTAACCGGTCGTCGTACGAAACGCGCTGTGGGTTGAGTCTCTATCACCCTTGAGGCCATCGACGGCCATCATCTCCCATTCTCGCTTAGGTTGAGGCACACTTCGATCGACCTCTGCAACTTCGAGCGTCATATCCTGACCTTCAGATACGGTCTGGATCATATCGTCATCTACTTCTACTTCCAGCCCGCTTTCTAGGACGCGGACTACTCGCACAACGGCCGAAGGGTCGATAGCCCACTTCGTCGAAATTCGCGACACAAATTCTGATGTTGTTCGCTGGGCCAAATAGATTGCTCGGTGGAGTTCTCGCCTCTCGGGCTCTGACCGACGTCGTCGGGCGACGTAAAAGCAGGCGACAGGCTTCACAGGCTTTTCGGTCGGTGGCTTATATGAAGGATCTACTCCAAGTGCTTCTATCCAACCACTCAAGTTCCCATCATCGTCGGTCTTGGGGACTTTGACTGGCATTTCGGAGGCTCTTCGAGAAGCCGATGCCTCCCCGCCACTTTGGAAGTCGTTCCATTGAGTGGCATTAGCAGATTGCGAGTGCATGGACATGGAACTAGGGGAAGGAGAGACGAGGGAAGACCCGGCTACCGAACTTCGTGCGCTTCTGATTTGCCATGCAACAGCATCCTTCGGGTCAACTTTGGTGAGATCCGTCGGCTCCCCAGGAAGGGTTACCGGGTGTAGGTCTGGATCATCCAAATCGTCGCCACGCAAGTACAACATACTCACAGGCCGCGTGCTTGTAAACATGTCCTGCAGAGTCTGAAGTTTGAAGTGCAGATCATCTTCAAGCGAAGGTCGCGGGTTCCCACCACCTCCGCCCGCGGAGCTGGTTGACGACATTGACCATGTTCTTTTGTGCTTTGGCGCTTTCCCTGGACGTTGATGGTCTTGACCCTTGACATGCGAACCACCACCTCGTTTGCGTTTCCCGAAATCTTTCGCTCCGCTTTCTGCTTGAGCAATCTGCTGCTTGAGTTTGTCAATGGTCTTTTTAACATGCGCGACATCATTTGAAAGTTTTCGTTCTGCCCCGTGGTCCCTGAATAGCTTTACTTTGCAATAGCAAATTTCAAACGTCGGATCTGACAAGGGAGACGAATCGGTCGCCGATAAAAGGCTCGTTTTGGCACATAACCTTACTGGAATGCCCTTAACGCCCTTGGAATGACTAAAGTCGGTCGAGAGGAAATTGAAGCGGACCGCAATATTACACTCCGCGGCACCGTTGACACCCGGTGTCCAAACAACCGAAAATCCGTCGAAGGAAGCTGTCTCCAGCTCGATACGGGTTCTCTTATCATCGCCTTCAGCCGGTTGCCCAGCTTCGACATACTCGACCGCTTGTAGCTTCCCGCCTCGCTGATGCGCCTCGTTGGTCCCGCGACCTTCTTTCCATAAACTCCAGCAGACACCAGGTCTTTGTCGTTGTTGGTCGTCTTCGAAGGAGATGCGCACAAATGTCCGATACTTCGTTCCAGGCACTATCGGCATAGCTGCCGCGGTATCAACTACTGCTAACGAGTAAGCTTGCCCCTTGTTAAGGTACGTCACCGGGATTTCATCCGCGTGCTTGATCATAGCCGTTGGCGCGTTCAAGGTCGAGTGGAAACGAAACTTGTCAGCCGAAGGTGGCAGCAGATGAGCCATGGGGGCACCAAATTGTCTATGCTGAAAACCGATCATATTAGGCGGGGACTGCGAATGGAATGTCGCATCCATAGAGCCTATATGCTCCTCGTGGCTATCGGAATCAAGGGGTGATCCATCATGGTCCATCGTCTCATAGCCAGTATCCTGATGCACAAATGACGAAGGTGCGAAAGATGGCTGAGGAGGAGTCGGTTGAATAAACGGGTCGAAAGGCGGTTGAAACTGATGCGGCGGCACGCCGTGATGAAACTGAGTAAGATCCAGTAGTGCTGGTCCGGCCTGGATGGCGCCTTCAGTAGTAGGAAGCGATAGGGGAGTTACAAGTCCCATTCCGAGACCCATTGACGGTGTATGAAGGTCGCCTGCTTGTGGATGGTAAATCGTATTGGTACCTCCAGGCGTGGGTGTGTAGTAGCCCGGCGGTTGGTTTGCGAATGTGCTGAAAGCAAAGGAATTGGGATCTAGCAACGAAGGGGTAAACCTCCACTCCGCGCCCGAAGCCCGCGGCGTAGGGTCCTGGTCTCGGAACACATCTTGGCTTGCACTTTGATGCCTAAATTATAATATCGGGGTTAGCTTTACCATTTGATCTGATCTGCTAGCATATCCTACTCCTGGTAGTAGAATCATGCGTGTTGATGCTAGCAGTTATAATCGAGCTTGGGGGCCGCGGAATACCCCGCGCCTGTGTTTGTCGAAAGCTCTAAGATGCACTTGCACCGCCTCACGATTAGACTGTAAGACGCCATCGCGAATGACAAAAAAGATAAATCCCAGGTGCCAGGGACGAGTCCGAAGGAAATCGCAACATACTGTTCCTGGCCGGGGGGAACAAGAACTGCGTTGTCGGCAGTCACAGTGTTCTGCGCTGGCGCTCCCGCCGTCGAAGACGAGGCTACAGACGCGATCTCGGGAAACTGTTGTCGGAAATTGGCAAGCAATTCATCGCCAGGCTTTTGTGAACTTGTCCTGGATCATGCGCAATCATGGTTAGCAGAGCGGAGGGAATATTAGGAACTGTCGCAAATAAATATGGCATAAGACAAAAGGCATTAACGAAGAACATGTTGTTCCCGCAACCCACCGGACAGATGCAAGGGTTGGAAACGGTTGGAACACGGTAATCAAGCAGAACTTACCTCTGACGAAACATCTGGAAAAGACTCAAGCAGGCGCTGTCACAAGACAGCAATGCTAACGGGTTTTCAAAATGAGCCTGAAATGTAAATCTTTTATGAAATTCCGATTTAACTCTCAAGTAAGGGCATGCGAACTTGAGAGACAGCCGTTAAGTTAATCCTGTTATAGAGACAGCGTAGAGTGACAGATAAACTAGCAACGGCGTGTATGTATGTGGGCGAGCGTTTTGTCGTGAGTTCTATTTTATGTTATTTTATTTTTCTTTGGTCAGTGGTCGATATTAAGCGATAGAAATATCGTGGAGATCTGCGGCGCGGCGCGGCGCAAAGTCTAGAACGATCGTGAGGGGAGGGATAGATTTGGGGGGCTTGTGTTAGAGTATTGAATCCAACGAGCGGGTAAAAAGACCGAGAATAGAGAAGTAGCGAGCGGAAAAGGATTAATATGAATAGATGCTGATTTGATAGGATCCCCAGGAGGGTGACCTGGTAGTAATATAGTACAGCTCACTAAAAGATTGCGTAGTGGGTACTTGGATTTTAACGTGTTCCAGGTGGAATTGGTAGTACTTGTAAGAAATTCGCGAATCTTCATCTAGGTCCCAACTTGTCGACCTTTGTCTATACTACTGGACTGGGTCGGGCCGGCCTGGCTAACCCTCTTGTACGTAGGTAACGGCTAGGGTCCTGTCAGGGTCCAGCGGCGTTGGTTGCGGTGGCGGTGATAGACAAGTGAGTTGGTGGTATAGATTAGTACGAGCATAGAACAAGTTATAGGCGTAATAGGTAGTGTGTATTTGTATTTGTATATGTATGGGCATGGGACGGTAAGGTGTGGATCGAAGACATTAGAGGGCCGGGACTTCAGAAACGTAATAATAAGTTCGGACGAAAAGAGAAGGAGTACGAAAATACAAGAGTACAGGGAGTACCTAACCAAAGAGTGGGTGGGAGTTAAGGTACCGTACCTAGGTAAGGTAAGGTAAGGTTAGGTAGGCTCTCGAAAAAGAGACAGCGATTAGTACCTAGGTATGAGAAGGGGGGAGGGGGTGGGGGGGGGGGGGGGGGAGGGGGGTGTAGCTTGAGTTAGATGAAGAGAAAAGGGGAGAGGGGGGGGTGTAATTCGAGTATTTCCACCATTGCACCGAGATGGTAGATGCTGCGCAGGTCTACACATGGGGTATTCCTGTATCTCTTTTCTCGTAGTCTCAAAATTGGATAAAGACCTAGTGACTTGGTTAGATTATGCGCTACCCATTTCGCCCGATTTTTTTTAAGGCTTGTCAACCGACGGTATCATTCGCGTGCAAACGAGGATTAGCCTTTAATACAATGCAAATAAGCTAGTAAGGCGAGGCAAGGTAAGACACCTGCTTAGATACCACCCAAGTAGAATCTCTCATACATAACGAAAAAAAAAAAAAAAAAAAAAAAAAAAAAAAAAAAAAAAAAAGAATGGGGGGGGGGGGGGCCGGGGGGGGGAGGGGGGGGGGGGGGGGGGTTTTAGAGGGTTGGTGGTTGGGGAGATTTTGGGGAGGGAAAAAGTGTGGGAATGTTTGTTGTTTTTTA